TTCCAGGTGCACTTTTCAAGAAAGACGTCTTCATTGTTTTGTCACATTCCGACAAATATTGTCCTACCCCAAGAGTAACTGAAATGTAATAATTGTTCCGAGCATCGGTGTGCGCATTATACGCCCCTCGACAGAAGGCAATTGTTGTAAAATATACACATTTAATATCCGCTCGAAAAAGCACACTGATGCTGTTTGGTACAAGACCGGACAATTTTTCACGACAGCGTATTGTCCAAAGTAAAACGTATCATATTTTACCAAGACATAAAAATAAACGTAGACCAAATATAGTCTGTGTGCCATAATCGATATTTTTACACAAAACAGCCTGTATTAAATCAAAGCTGAAATACACTCAGACGGAAACTGTCAATTCACACAAAGTAAACCCACACTATCATTAGCTAGTATGCTCATGCAACATTGCATAGCATATCCAACTAAAGCCAAGTACTGGAAATACTGAACTATCTGTCAGTATAAGTACTAGATTCATAAGTGTCGAACCATAATTCCTTATAACTCACAATCTGAATCTGAAATCGAACGAGTTCAATACGATCATGACCAAATTAACAGAGGACAATGAAGAAGCAATCGTTGATAACAACCTGCCCATAGAAATGACAACATCATCAGTCACTTTGCACCAGCCAATCCCATCCATTTTTACGCAGAGGCAAAGCGAGACTGACAGAAGTATAATGGAATACTTAAACATTGTACTATTGTTTGACAGATTAATATCAACTAGAGTATATCTTATGAGTATGCGTCACATGGACGAGCTATCGGGTCAGTCTATGGGTACATTCACGTCACTAGAAACCCTTCATTCCATACCTTCGTCAATCGCCCATCGTATATGACCTTTGTACCAACCCGTGACGTTCATGAGGTAACTTCGTCCGACAGTGTGTTTGAAGATAGTGGTGACAATATGCCTGGATTGTTATCTGTAAGTACAAGTAGCAGTGACAACGACAACTACCTACCTTTGGGGTCATCCAATCCAAACAAGCAAATGACGCAACATCCTCACATGCGTCGCACAATCATACGACGTCCTGCTGCACTAGCCTCACGTTCATCCATTTCAACATTAGAGCAAAGCCGCGCTGTAAGACTTGCTGAACCGCAACACTATTCAACTACGTGAATGACGTCGACATTTGTAGTCGCCCCAGAAACATGACTGAATAAGGTGTGTGGACACGAAAGTTCGCACAAATGCTTTTAATGCACGACAGCGGTACAGCTGCCATTACAAGTGTCTTAACCCTGCGAGTTTATTCACTGACAGCCCTTCGCCAAATCCAACCCCCACTTGTCGTTAGGGCCAGATTGAGTAACAATATATTATGTAATCTATATACATTCAAGAGAAATGTGCCTGCATCATAACACATAATCATCAGCGATGGTAACATCCACTGAATCTGATGTTCATTTGTCCTTTTGCCCTGTTCTGAGTATGCCATCATAACCATACGTACGCTCATTTTTAGCTGTATAGGGGATATTGTAGTAGTCCGTAAGAACTGCACCAGCGATGTTTCCAATTCAAATTCAGCTGAAGGAGCTGGGATACGCTGCAGCTGCACGCCATCAGAACCAACAAGAGCCTTATCACACATACGCTGATATATAGTCCACACTGATTGCATACGCTCCGCCCATTCTCGGGCACTCTTGGATGTCAACAGTATACGCACCAACAGAGCTCGAACCGCGAGTGGATGCTGCGCAAAAGGTGTGTGGCGAAACAGCCATGCCTGATAAGTACCTGCAGTCTGTATATGTGCCACTGTTTCCAGTTACGATTCAACGTAGTTCTTTTCATGATGGAAATCAACAAAAGAACGATGTAGAGGAATGGTCTCGTTCATATATCGAAGCCGATGTATCACCGGCCCTTCATGCGCAATCACTGTGGCCGGGAAGTACCCCTTTGCCAGTAACTTGTGACCCAATGTCTTCCAACGCTATTGGGTGTCCAAACGTGTCGCAATCTTGTCCCAAACTAATGTGCTAAGATTTGTATCATTAACTAGCATGTTAGTAATTTTAACCTACAGCGTAAGACGTCGAGGGCCATCGTAAATGAGCCCTATCCGCATAAACATTGTCAACCTAATCGTGGTATGTACTAGGATAATTAAGTGGTTCCATTCCTCCAGAGTTCGTATGACCCGTTCTGCACAGCCAATACATTCGTGATGATCCACCGTTACCTGATGCATATGTATGTCAAAGTATAATACAAATTCGGCGAACACTTCATTTTCAAAGGCCGATCCCCAGGGAAAGACCTGTTCACGGAGAAACTTGAGAACACCACGTTCATTTATTATAGCTAGTGTAAAACACTCACCACCAGAAATTTTGATAATTCATTGACAGCAACTAAAACTGATGACTCGTCCGCAGGTGCTATGGTGAATTCAACGAAGCCCATACTCCAATTCGCCGAGATCTACACTGTTCTTCGGGCTGCTGTAGCAAGCCAATAAACACGACCAATCAAGCGGATCTGCCGACGCAGACCCTTCCAGCCCAAGACATCTTCAGCGAGATGTTCCAACTAAGTCTGCGCGGCGTGCACATATATGATGTGCAAGTATTGGAACGCCTTTACAACTTGCGCCCCAGTTAAGTTTGTACCCCATATCGATTTAGACGGACACTGTAGTTACACTGGCCAAGGATCAACTGCGTTCGATACTGCCACTTGAGTAGAACCCTTAGTGGGTAACAGGTCCTAAGCTGCTGGAGAGTTAAGGCTGGTTCATCTGAATCTTCCCCTGTGTGTGCTGCCACGCCAATTGCCAGTGATTTTTTTTTGCCAGCGATCTTTTGTCCTGATGCGGCGCAAAAGCCTGCCCCGCTCGTGCCAGAGATTGTCCAAAATGGAAGAAATATTCGCCAGATATCTTGCACATGCCACTATGAATGCTACAACCGCTATCGGAGGCTGCCCTACTCGAACTGCCTTGCGCCCCAGAGGCGTAGGACCTAGTGGAACTACAACTGACACAGGTGAAAGCACCACTATCACACTTAGTCCAAATAACCAGTCTCACCCGGAAGTTGCGAGGCCCTAATCGACATAACAGTGTGACAGAAGATGTCGGTCCAGCAACTGCATGTCTATGTCGATTAAAACTCCCCGCTGTCCTCGCTACAATGATAGGCACATCAGCCAAGTGGAACACTAGGTCCCAAAACCAAGATGCATGCGGACAGTAGGGACAAACGAGTGCGCACCACGTCTGGTCCATCCGTACTGTGCGCAACTCTGACCCTAACAACGTCCGAGGAGGAATTGAAGAACCAATTAATGGTATGATCCCCTCAAAACCTCAAAAACACGCCGCCTTCAAGTGGGGGGACGCAATAAAACGGAAAGACTTGGTAGCCCGGCAGTGTAAACACGTCAGCCGTGTGAGGTCCCCACAATTTGTCGGCTAGTCGAAAATAGGTCGACGTGAGCTGGTATTCCGCCGTAGCAGCCATGACTACCTAAGGGTCGGCGAAGTACACATACAGGTCAGAACTGGTGTCCCTGAACCCACATGATGACATAGTCTGGAGAGTAGATCGGCGACTGGAATTTCGACACCTGGTATGTGAACTCGATGTCGAAATCACTGAGAATATCATAGTAGCGCCCCAACCTCCTACCTCGCACACCATTCGTGAATGACTCCCTAGGTTTTGATAGCATTGCAACCAACGGTTGGTGATCTGTGAATAAACGAATGACCCGGAATGATAGTCGCAGTGTAACTATATTATTCCTGACCACGTAGACCAGTGCTAAAGCTTCCTTATCGGTGATGTGGTACGCTTTTTTGTGCTGCGTCAAGCCTTGAGGAGAAGAAACTAACTGGCAGAAATTTGCCTTTTCGCCCCATTGTCAAAACACTTCCGAGACCTACAGATTCGCACGCATCTACAAACATGACCAGCTGCTCCTGTGGTAAGGGCTCGACCAATATAGCCGAAAAGAGCCACTCTGCGGCTGACTCCAGATGAATGGGCTGTCTTCTTTCAACAGCTGCGAGACTGGTTCCATGACTCGAGCTAATTTCGGTACGTATTCAGCTCACCACCCCACTGTGTGGTACCACGATTCTAGCAGGTCTTTGTTCGTTGGTTCTGACAATTCTAGTAGCGCGTGTAATCGATCTTCACCAATTGTTGTGCCCCTGTATTCTACGATTCTACCAATAATGAGTACTGGCGTGCGGTACTGAGTTATTGCGCATTTCAACAAGCGTCGTTGGAAGTTGTAAAAATGTAACAAGACATTTTCAATGTTCAACTGGGTCGTTGTGTGAGAACGACATGTCATCTATGTACCAAACAAACTATTATAGTTTGACCTTCAATTATTTCACCCAGGACCTCCTGACACCGCCAAGATGTATCCTTTAATACGAACGGAATACCCACGAAAGCATAAAGGCCGAATTGGGGTTTAAATGAGAGATACACACCTGACCCATGTTCTGCGTCGTGATTCCTTGTTCATCAAACCGGACAAGTATTCCCGCTCTGTAGCTATGTGGTAAGGTACAGCCCGCAATTGCGTGTTCATGCTTTTCAAATTTATACAACACCTCCAATCGTCTGTCACTACTGGTTGCACACCTGGTTTTTTGAACACAAGATGTGGTGCCGACGCTGTATTTCTGCTATGATCCCCGCCTGCAACCAAGCCATCACCTTTTCGTATAAGGCCGCATTCCTAAGTTCATCACCGAAAGTAGCTCGTGTACTGTGGTATTGCTCCCTCTATCTCATATAACACTAAATTCTCATCAGCCAAAAACTTTGGTCTCATTGGATCATAAGCTACGTCCTCAAACAACTGTATGACTGTTTTTTATTCAGTTTACTTAACTCACGCTTGCTTTGTTTGCCAAGAACCACATTCCTTTAGTGTCTAGCTCAGGACTCGTTGCTTTAACCCAGATTTATATTCCTCCCTCTTAATTAAGCCACTCAACTACACAATATCGCTCCGCAATCCTGGGTAAATCTGTAGCCACCGCTAGCTTTCTATTCTCCTGCAGATCTTCATATGTCGCCCCAGTATTCACTTCAATAACGCTATCGTAAGCGAGGGGCCCCACTATCTGCTTCATGCTCACTTCTCTGGCTACCTCTACCAGTTCATGCTCAGGTACCTCTGTTAGTACAGAACCCTGCCAGATCAAACTCCATCTGTACGCTTGCAAGGTTTTGTACCTCACCAGTATATCAGATTCCATTGGTTCCCACTATCAACCAGGCATGAAATCTCTATGTACTCTGTAACTGCAAACCACGTTGCCAGCCGTACTTGTACCTTAACTATGGCCTTGGGCACAAGGTCGCCCATTTCTCCGATTCCCGTATATTTATCCCCAGTATACTTTGATTACTTCAAGGCGTGCTACCAGCGCGGAGGTGATCAGCGAAGGGGTAACTCCTGAGTCTATAAAACTCAGAGAGCTTTATCTGCGTTGGTATCGCTGCCTTGTCAATGAACGCGACGGTGCACCAAAGGTTGTTGCACTAGCTAGAACTTGGGATTCCTTCGGTACGCCGTCAGTCGCTCATCCATTTTGTTCATCCGTCTTCTCAGCTGATTTTATCACTGATGTACTTATGACCCCCGCAGCCTTCAGCTGTGTCATGGCCGCTGCGACTGCCGCACCTCGGCTCATTTTCGTGCGCTTTTTTTGCTGGCTGCGACGTTTCATTGCCCGTGCTACCTTACTTCTGCGGACAATTACGCTCCAAGTGATTAGTAGACTTGCATCCGTGGCAACCCGAATCGCACGCTGAGTCGGGTACTTGCCCTAACGCGCCCATAGTCCCATTACTATTCCGCGGCTGCCGACTTGCCTTTGCGTGTCTCTAGCAAGTCACTCTGTATTTTGGTGACCAACGGCAACCCTCCAGAAACGTATGCATTCTCCACTATCACTCTTCCTGATCATGTGGATAACAACTTAGCACAAAGTTTTTGATGTCTACCTCAATATCCTGGAGGTATATAATCTTGTTGCCGAATTCTGAATGCCATATCGATGCATTACTATCTGCTCTCACCAATGGCTCACTCAAGACTGGCGCGATAAGATTTGCGACCAGTTCCCCTGTAGTTTTGCGCCAGACTCCTAAAATCATCGATTATCGCGGCTAATTTAGGCTCTCCTTTTTGGAGCTTTTGCTATGTATCTCATTGCCTCAGTGCGGAGTTTCTTAGTTAGAGTGTCTTCCGTACTAGGTGTCTTTCCTGCAGCATTTTCTTCCACTTCATCCATCGTGGCTTTAGGAGTTGCTGCTGTAATCAGGCTTTAATCCTCTATGCCTTTGACCGTTCTACCCTTCAAGCATCATGTCCACACAATAATAAAAGTAACCTTAAAAACATTCATCTTGAATTCTTTCAGGTACATTACCTTGAGTGCTAGATCGCCAACTATCCCTTTTGCAGAGGTGCCGGGTCCACTGTCAAAAAATTCTAGTCTTCGCTTCTAAGAGCAAGTAAGCCAATGTCCAGTCTATTGATACCAAGTCCACCGGAACTGCCGTGCGCAGCTTGCTAGACAATTCCCCGCTAAAATATTGGTGTAATATACCATCTAAGTAAGTGTGTCGACTGGCATTGTCTTATTTGTCCTTCGTGGTCAATTCTCTGTCATTTTTCAGAGCCAACCGTACTGGATTCTAATCAAACAAGAACTCATGCCGCATGGCCAAGGATTTCTGCTTACCAGCAAAAGCTCCCACGCGACTCTTCGCGGCATCTGAGATCGACACATTGTATACACTATTTAGTCCTTAAGCTAAGCGTATCGTGAGTAGTTGTAATGCGCTTATGTGGAGTAAATTAGCGTACGACTATTCTCGGCGGAAAAACGCTCCGCTTTAGCAATAAAAACCTCTTTTATTGTTATGTTCCCTACTTAAGTTGTAGACTCTCAAGTATAAAAAATTCTGTCCACCCTATACTGCGGTTTATATTATTGGAGCTCATTCATATTTCCATGATTGGAAATTCTGGCTCCAATGTTCTTCATATATTTTCATGTATCACAAACATGAGAATACAACATGTTTCCCTCCATCCTATTGTTTACACACACATCTCAATGTGCCTCCCTTGTATACACCTTGTTAAGCAATCCGTCTCTTTTACCTTAAAAAGCAACATGTTCTCTTATCCAATCTCATTCTGGCTTGCGCAACACATATTCATATATTGCCTTATACAGCAATTTGCCTCATACAGCAATTCATATGTTGTGCTCATTTACTGAAATACCACATGCAGTAATTCAAACGTTGCGTTCACTTGTCTTTACAGATACAACTTAAAATACAGCTTTTATGTGCATGAACACTTATTATGTATTAAGTTTGTCATAGGTACAATTCCAACTTCATAATTCAGTGTATATCTGTTATCACATTCCGACAACAGACATACACTTCTCATGATTTGGTTGGTCACTTTAGTCTTATCAATGGCACGATATCCAAGCCCAACATTACCTTGTTTTCGCAACGGGATTGTTCGGTTTCGGACACGAATAGTATCATCAGTCACAAGTGTTAATATTTAATCCAACAATCCTACACGATCAAGATCAAGGTTACACTTAATAGTGCTGCCAATGTAACAGATGGCTGCTCTCTGTTTCCTATACGTCTGTCCCGAGCTCTGGATGTATATACACACAAAACGGTACACATGAGCGATTACACATTACCGTTACACAAATAGAAATGCAAAAGGCGCTTCCTCACTAACAATGGTTCTATTTGTAACAATGCAATCATCTCGGAGGTGGACTTGGGGCCTGACCCCTTTGCGAGGGCGGACAAGGTGTGTTTATGTTGTCCTTGAGCATCACCTGGGATACATATGTGCGTTGGGAATCGATTCTGAACATGATTCAAAATACATATCAATAGAAATTACAGCTTGTTCACTAATATTGTCTTTATTGTAACCATGCAATCATCGTGGCGGTGGATATGGAGCCTGACCGCTTGGCGGGGGCGGATAGGGTGTGTTCTGCTGCCCTTGTGCGTCACCCGGGGGTGACATGTGTGTTGGGAACTGATCGTAGTTACCTACTTGTGCACCGCCACCTCCGGTGTAGTACAGATCGCCAGGCGCTCTACCAACGCCGGTATTTGGGTAGTTACTACCCTTTTGTCCACTCGCGTACGCCTGGGAAATCGAACCCGAATTCGGATTGGAGTAGGGGTAGGGATACGGACTTGGGTTGGGATTTGGGTTAGGATTAGGATTGGGATTCGGATTGCTCCCATACCCCATTATAGCCTGCGACTGAGGATAGCCCCCGCCCTCCCTCGCCGGCATCTGGCCCGCATACGGATTACGCATACCATACGCGCCACCCTGTGCGTGTCCATGTCCTTGTGTATCGGTAGACCCGTACATACCCCCCAAACTTGGTTCGTGGGCGCCTGAGTATAGGGGCGGGGGGTATGGTGGTGTGGTACTGTCGAACCGCGGCACTTCGGCGTACTTCTGGGTAGGTTTGATGTTCTTGCTCCGGTAGTATAGAAACGCGCCGACGAATAGGATGCCCAGCAGTAACAGCGGAACACCAATAAGAGGGCGGTAAGCAAGCCAGCCAATGGATATGGTGATCTGAACGGGGGAATAAAAGGCAGTAGTTTAAAAAGCCGCACCAGATTTTACACGGCATACAAGATGATTAAGATTCTGCGCCAAATAAATCAAGACTTATTTGGGTTCTGAGTGAGATACTAGAATCTGTGCAGCATAAAAAACCCCGCAAAATAGCTGTGCGACAAATAAAATGGAAAAAAGAGATGCTGAGGACCTACGCGTGATACTGCTTTTAATATGGCATATAAAGTTTATAATCTAAAAATGCTTTTAATACGGCATATAACGTTTATACTTTAATAATGATTTTAATATGGCATAAAAAGTATATACTTTACCAATGCTTTTAATACGGCATATAAAGTCTATACTTTAATAATGTTTTTAATACGGCATATAAAGTTTATAACTACGCAAGCATTACAAAGACTCATGAGTGAATGAGCGCAAAAAAAAAAAGCAAGCGCCCAGGCTCACAACTGACTTCACATGAATCACAAGAGAGTTGGGTACTGGGGACCGGGTTACATGACGGAGACATAGCGATAGCAGACAACAACAGAGCACGGCAAACCGTTCACTAAGATTGCAATTGAGAAGATAAGGCTTCATGGAGGGAACGGTATCTGGCCATTCAAACTCGTGTCCACTGAAAACGTCTCTATAACTGCGTAAACACTACTAAGTGCGCGGTAGTGAATCGGGCAGGTCATACATGCGCCAGTACATATCAGGGATACAGCAATAGCAGCCAGCAATGAAGCACAGTTGGACGGCACACACAGACTACCCACAAGCAAAAGCACTCTGTACACATCACTACGGACGGAAGGTCAGGTATTTGGACCAGCCCTCCACAGCAGCCAGTCACCCACTACAGATACAACAACGGCCACAAGTATAGGGCAGAGGTACACCATCAGATACTGGAGAGAACTACTGAAAGTTGACCCGTACAGTTACATAATAGAGATACAGAGATAGCAGCTAGTAAGGAAGCACACCTGAAGGCAACATTATAGATATTCACGATACAAAACTCTATCCATATCACTACTGACAGATTATATATATATATATATATATATATACTATTACTATAATATATATATATATATATATATATACTATCTGCTATCGTCTACTTACTACTACTACTACACACACACACATATATATATATATATATATATCGATATATATAAGTATACTATANATAATA